GCGACTTGCGAAACGTACTTTAGTACTAATAATAACTATTGTTATATTAAAAAATGCGCTATAACTTGTTAATTATATGTTAAAAATACTTAACTAATTTTCAATACGATGATGAATTGAATACATAATATTTCTGCGTGGTAAGGCTGTTAGGGGAACAACCAAGTGCAAACAGCGCCAACGATAAACATTTAGGTTTGACATCCTTTTAAGATCAAAACCTGCAAAATACACGGGGCAAGGTAATGCCAAGTATTCATTTTATGAAGCAGCGAATCTCGGTTAAGCCGAGATCCGAGTTCCGAGTGTTACATCCGAGTAGCTGAAAAAGCTAGAGAAATGAAACAAAGAAGTCGATGTACAATTACGGATGCTAGTTTTGTGTCTTTTACTCACATTACTGCATGACGGTGGTTAGACATCAGTGTTAGTGTTTAAGCAATTTATATCTATCTATCTCATACCTCGTCTGGTAACACTTGTCTATTTAGAGGTCGATCTTATATCGAACGAATTTGTGTGATCTTCAATTACTGTCCGTTGTACTCTGCTTCCGTGCGCACACCTATACCGTGTTCTAGTGTTAAAAATGTCATGGAAATGGTATTATATAAATTCCTATAAATGTGCCTATATGATGATCGATTGTGGTTGCATCTTCACGAAGCACACATATCTATTTGTTCACATACATTTTACGAAGCACGTCATTGTTGGAGTTACCTTCATTAGTAATTACTTTAATCAGCTATAACCTAAAAACTTTCTCAGCTTTTGAAGCAATATGTGGAGTTCAAATACTAAGCAACATGTACATTGCTGACGGATCAATTGTTGAATGTTCTCTACAAGAATTTTTCATTTTTTACATTAAGGTTGCGAGTATAGCGGCAATTACCACACGATACTAAAACACGGAGTATGCGAGAATGCAGTTATAATTCTATAAACTTTTAATCATTTACATGTCTTCCATTTCGCGCATTTTCACTATGGATACAATATTTCGAGTGGGTTGGCTGGCCTCTTCACTGGACGGATAGTACAAGCGCCCCTCAGGGATGACCAGTATATCGACTCGATATCATGATACGTTTGCAGTTAGATGAATTTTTCTGGAAATCATACAACGAAGAAAAAGACGAAAGCAGAAACACTTTAGCGGTTTGACTGTCTCCGCGACTATTATAGAGGAAACAAACAATGAAAACCACTGAATAAGTAAGACTTTAATTCTCTGATGGTCGCAGCCAGCCACAGCAAACTGCTACTAATATGCCGAATTCGCCCCATTGATTACATTGGATTATGCAATTCGCGGGCGACACAGTGGCGCCACCAACGGAAAATTTTACCGGTCAACTATGAGACCAAATACGGAGATAGCGTTATGATTTTTATTGTCCTATTGTGATATGGTATACAACATATGTTTGGTGATCAACGAGACGTTTTCTCACTATAGTTTCAAGAAGTATATGTTAGAAGTTGAAACGGAACGAAATCAACTTTAAACGACAAACGAGACGAACAAATCGGAGTATTATTTCGACATGAGATGAAACGCGATAAAAAAAATAACTGCCGAAAGAAGAGGTCAAATGTATTCTTACATGTGTTTTGTTGTATGCAGTTCATGCGCTCTGTTTGGATTATTTGCCGTTTATCGAACTGCGATAATGCGATATCATTGGGACTTCGATCTGCGAGCGAGCGCATATTAGTATCCAATAATCATAGTGATAGTAATACAATTTAAATGGGTTATAATTTTTGCATATTCTAGAGCCCAAGGGTTATGCCATAAATTAATAAACAGCAATTTAAGACCACTGCTATTATTGGGCAGGACAGAAAGCTTTGCACATACGTAAAGGGGGAAAAAAACAGCCATGCGACTAGGTGGTTGCTGGCGAACTGATATTAAAGATAGATAATTCCACAAAAACTTATTTTACAGCCCACGCAATACCAGAGAACACGCAGTTTTTCGCTCATATCGATTACAGAGACTTTTTACTTGTAAAAGTCGATTTGCGAAATTCACGGCGCAGTCAGTCACTGACTTATTTTCTTTTCATGCTTGATGATGTCCACTTGTCGCGAATCGAGTAGCTCTGACTTCACAGATCTCCCGTTGCCTGTCAAGAGTATAAAGCCAAACACCGTATGAAAAATATTGATGGTAAATATCTACCAAGTTCACTAGCATCATTAGAAAGAGAGAAAGAAATCAATCAAATAATATGTAAACCTTCATAATTGGAAGAAAATTCTAAACTGAAATTGGCTTGATCTAGTCAAACGTTAGCGAAGGACGTCATCGTCTCTTACAATATCGAAAATTGCAGGCAAATCTCAGGAAAATCTATGTTTTAGGGGTTAGCAATAATGCCAATAGTGTAACATAAATCTGTATGTTGATTCAACTTCAAGAATCCATTCTTAATGGCTAAATCGTTTCTATAAAGATGGTTTTCCTCCCTAGCAATTGCTATGACTTGTAGCCGTAAAATGTATCCTTGAATATGAACTCCAATGGAAAGTCGTTCTAAAACAGGTTCTGGGTAATTCTACTCAAGTGTACAAAAGTAACAGATTCTATACCTATATAGAAAATTATCAGTAGGTTACTCTCACAGAAATTTCGTATCATATCTAAGGCCAGTGGCTAGTGCTGAAGCAAACATACTTAACTGAATTAAAAACAAATTATCCTAATTCTCTTTCGCTAAGCTCTTGTTCGCCTAGAAAAACTAAAATTGACTGTGATAAACTATAGATATTGTAGAATAATAAGGACTTGCATACTCGCTATTTATCTAATTTACCTTTTTTACAAACCCGACCTTTTTGTCAGGTGTCAGGCATTGGTCTCGACCTAAAACTGGACTAACCACAGAGTTTTTGTTGCCTCTTCCAGATAAGTTTCAATCAAAACTATATTATTATTTGCTGTTCATAAATATCTACCTAGCACTTTGTCGTCAGATAGGCTCTTTTTCGGTCGCTTCCGAAAGGTATTTCCGAAAAAAAAAGTATTGAAAATGACTCAAATAAAGGACTTTCCGATGTGTCCGGAGTCACGACAACAGGCAATTTGAATATAGCTATGCTGCTCTTAACACGACGATGATGATTCAGTCTTCACGATCGTAAATAGAAGTATTGAAGATGGTCTTTACTATTATCGGTTACGGTGAGCGTTATCTGCGACGCTTGTACAAAGTGTTCGGAAGTGTTCCAGGCATCGTTGATTGCTCGACCGCAGTTTCGGTGACGATATCTTCTGAAATACCCATTACATTGTAGAACTTGTTTTATACAGTGGAAATATTTTGTTCTTGCCCTGTTATTGACAATAGAAACGATCTCTATCGATTCGGTGCTTACGACATTTTTATTACGAAAGAGTAATTTGATTATGCATCAATTGTCCAAAATAGCCATTTGATGAAAGTTCAATGCGAGCTACGACGGTGGTGATTACGGTTTGTTGTAAAAGTTCGAGAGGTATATACAGCACCCCAATTTTAATAAAGAGGTTCATTTAGTTCATGTCGCATTAATCGAGCGACATGGGTGTCCTCGTATGAGAAATAATGTAAAAATTTGTCGTCCTATAAAAGGCAATAGTAGACGCTTCTGGTTTTAGCTAACAACGATACTGGGCGTAATACTCGAAACATAGGCTAGAACTAACCGGTTTTGTTGTGAGTCAGTGTTTACTAAACAATAACTAGTTATCGATTATTTATTCCTGAATGGCTTCCATAGCCATTCAGGAATAAATATAGCCATTCATATATATAAAATAACGACAGGGTGAAGTTAGACAATAGGAACTAAGACAAAACTTTATTCGGCATATTGCAGTATTTTAAGTTCATATTTGGTCGTTCATCTGGTCTGATATTAATGCTTGAATTTCGTCAGAAGAATAACAGTTTTAGCTATTATATCCTGTACTTTAGCGTCACCAAAAAGCGTTCGGAAATTCGGTGAGTGTTACGCAAACCTCTGACCACAATTAGGCGTTCTATTAGGTTACAAAAAATTACTTAGATCAACTACAAAATTACAAAAATTACTTACTGACAACAATGGAGTTTCTACCTAAAAATTATTAGTATCATTATCTCGTACTAACGGTAAGTATTGAAATTGCTTAACATTTCCATATAGAGCTAAAAGGTGTTCTCCATAACACAAAAATAAAATGAATTTTTCTGTTGAAATTCTGAAAATGAAGTAAATTGCCCCTTTTACGCTATGGCTCGTTTTCGGTATCGTAGCTCCTTGCAGAAATTCATCGTTACGCTCATCTGAAGCAGCGACGTTTTTTGCGCTTTATCTGAAAAGGAAGATTATTTACCGCTTTCGTTTGTGGACCGTCAAAATCATCGGAATCGCTATTAGATATCAAGGAAGCTTGTGGAATGGTACAGCAGCTTTATGATTGCAGTTCGTGTTTTTAGTAAGACCACAACTCAGGGATAAACGCTTAGGTCTTATCGTTAGCTCACTTTATGCCTCGCTACGTTTTAATATCTGATTGCATCCACTTATAACTGTATATATATTAATATACCCTGACGTGACCCAACGGGTGGAATACTCATGTATAATGCAAAAATAGTAGCGATATATTTTCTGTAGATTTACAAGGCAAGTATAGTAACGGCAGAACATTGTACTTTGAGTGCTTGTTTCTAATCCTAAGAACCGTGTCGGGCAGTATGCCAAAAAGCGCGTTATAGTATGGTGCCATAAACATTGCTGTACGTGAGACTCTACACAGAATCACGGATGCTCAACCCGCTTGCAAGCACTTCAAGCGGTGATATAACAACTGCAATAGATCCTCCGTACGAGCCGTGTGACGTCGTCATGGCCTGCGATTGCTCATCACACCGGTCTTTGGCTACGGTGTACCACTCTCTCAGCTGCCTTGTGCTCCCCTCACAGTTTAATCGGAAATTCTCGCATCACAGGAGAATCGTATGTACAGTTCTTCAAAGTCGATCCCACTTTATCGGACCCGCTTCAGGCTCACCCAGCAGAGCTGAGAATTGGTCAGATTTTTCATTACTAAAACACTACGTACGAGGTAGGATACCGAGTACCTTGAAGTAAACAAATAGTTCGGTGATTTCGAAGGTTTTTGCCTTTTTGGGGGTCTGGTGTAAACTATCGCATAGAAATCGTGCAAAAGGTTCGTTTATTTTAGCTGCTGCTGCTGCTGTAAATGTGTGGTTAAAGGTGCACGCAGACACTCACCAAGTGCTAGTGGTGCATTGACACACGGGTTTAATGAAGATGTTGTTCCGTGCGATCCTGTGCTGTACCATCCTGGGAGTCGCGTGCCCTCAGCGGCTTTCGTTCATGCATCTAAATTCGGATGAGAGTGGTGCCAGTGCCAAGATCGTTCGGCCCAACGTAACCATATCGTCATCTCAGCGACGCGTATACGTTCCAAAGGGTAAGTCTTTGAAATACGCCGAATCGCCTATACTCAGGCTGAGCTTCCAACCATCGCCTAAGCTTTCTAAGGCGCTGTCGTTCTCAGACGCGCAGAAGCCCCGAAGCTCTCAGTTCTTCCATCTGGTCCCATCGACTCCATCGCCTTCGGATGCCAAACCTGTGAAGAATGAGACAGCTTTGACGCCGATCGAGCCCACACCGATGCGTTCGGTACATCGAATCTCCAACACCACGTATCAGATGCCTGCCGACTTCCTCTGTGAAGGACTGGACTGCCCTAAGGGTAAGACATTGCATCCTGCAAAGGGTTGGTACCTAGTTTTATTACATGCTGTCAGTGTGATAGTTGCATTTTAGTCTTTCTGCGTTAAAATTATAATTTCCATAAAGTACTTGTCGAAGTATGTATAAAATGTTATAGCTTATAATATACGAAGTTACTTTATGCTTACGATGAGAACACATACGCACTTGTAATGGCTGGAATTCGGTTTAACTATGGGCATAAAAAGCACGCCAACGTGGTTCCAATAAAGCAAGTCTTTCAGATTGTTTCATTAATGATTAATGTTTAATTAATGATTAATAAATAGACTTTCATCTATTTATTAGTCACTAAATGGTCATTCATTTTTTAAACTATCAATAACTAGTTTTCTTCAACTGGGCATACGCTGTGAAACATTTACAGATGTATATATGTTTATATATATAGTATATATATGTTTTTTTGTGGCGAAGAACACAGTGTACTATAGACATGTCGGAGACTATGGCGAGGTGATTATTTCAGGTCATAAATAAACTAACTAATATAACAATCAGTGAATGTGTCTCACTTTCCCAATCAAATTCTCACTTCGACCCTTAGAAAACTGTAGCCCTTTTCACAATGGGGCGGGTTCACCTGAAAAGTCCCGCTGGAATTGTGTCTACTAACATTGCTGCGTAATATGTGCGTGGACTTGTTGAGTGGATTCGCGATTCCCGTATAAATATGTACTTCAACATCACTGCGCGACATGGTGAGGTTTAACCAATAAATTGTTGATATTTTTGTCGGTAAGGACATCAGATGACTATCGTCAAAATTGCACTGATGTCTCAAGCTATACGCGAAATGAGTACTCTTCAGGAAAGATATAACTTAATATTCATCATCTTAATGGAAAATAAATTACTTGTTTTGAACAAAGGATATATAGTTTTGGCACGAGCCCGTGTCATGGGAAAGTCAGGAAGCATTATTACCATAGGCGCAAAGCGTCAATTCTTGGTTCTCTTCATTGTATAATGATTAGTTTCTAATAAAAGTATTATATACGTAGAAAAGACGACTCAAGTAGTCATTAGAACTCAGTAACTCTTTTCATTACCTAAGTGTCAGCAGAGAAGCATGTGATCCCTGGTATATAATAAATTAAAACTGCTGAGAAGAACAGTCGAAAATATTAATTTTTGTCGTGTTAAAAGCTTACTTTGTGTGCCCTAAAATTGGTCTGCCTAATACCACTCTGCACAAAGCGGTATATCAGCGGAAATAAACCGCTTTTCAATAGATACAAGGACCTTGTAGACGGTAGGGAACATCCTGTGGAGGCGAAAAATTAGACGAAATCTGCTGGCTTTTTGTATTTGTAGCAATCATGTTATTGGTTCCTGTAAATAGATTAATTTTATTGTACGTTTGACGAGTCTCGTTCGAGGATCTTTTCTACAAAGCAGCATTTTGAATCTAGTTTTAGAGATCCAGGAACTTATAATGGTATATAACATAAAGGAAATCAATCGAACTTACTCTATGGAAAAGTTTTAGTTCTAAATATAGAACTACTAACGCGTTTCCAAGGCTGCCCGGCAAGAAAGGTCTAAGTAGGCCAAAGCTAGTTGTTACTAGATGAGGAATATATGGACATATATATCATTGATGGCACTATTTTGATTCTATTATTGATCTATTATATATTGTAAGAATGGTCTTGGATCAGTTGTGAACCGAATAAGTTTTTTTTTTTTACCAATTTCATGTTAGTTGTTGCATTTCGATTAACATGCCCTTTATACTTTGCAACAAAATATATCTGAAGCTATGTTATATTTTAATTATAGCTGAAAACATTACATTGACCAGATGCTAATCTGAGAATGAAAATTTAATTTTTAAGTAGTAGAACATTTTCACTAACTTAACGCACAATTATCTATTTATAAGGATACGCTTCGATACCCGGTGTAGCTTAGACACGTCATCTCATCTTCAGCATAGGGTTTCTTGTTCGTAGCTGCTTCGTCACACGAATAAAATAACGAACAGAAAAACGTCTACGAAAACAGTTTTCAGCGTTCGTTGTTGCCAGATATAAGACGCCATAGCGTTTTTCATCATTTTATACGTACAACAACATTCGTCACACTTTTGTAGGAAAAAGTAATGTGGACAAGCGAGCTGCTTCCTTAGCTGTCATGCGGTTGAAGCCGAAAACCTGCAAAATCGCCAAATGACAACAAGTCGTGTCATATGTGCATGTTTTTTTTTTTTTTTTTGTAAATGTCGGAAGTCTTACATTACCACGAACGACTGTCTTTGACTAGTTTACGGGGGATGATTTAACAGGGAGCCTCAACGGTGGTCCGCAAGACAAGCGGAGCCAGCTTGATGGCATTGCGCACTTCTGGCTGGGGTCGAAGGGCAGCACTCATCAAGCAAGCGGCTGACTTCCAGATTTGTCGAATATCGCTGAAGTAATCATTGAACGGCGTTTCGTTAATAAATAGAGAAAAAATAGTGAACATTTAATTTGACGGCTTTTAATACCTAGCAATCGCTTGTGTTGGCAGGCTATCTTCTGTCTGTACGTCTCCTGTATTTTGACATTGTCTTGCAGTTCATTGAGTGACCATGTTTTCGCGTTTTAACTATTGTGTTCAAGAGCATACTAAATCGTGTTTTGAAGTTACTGCATACGTCAAACGACTGTATATTCTTGCAGAATTTAACTTACATAGTATTTGAAATTCGATTACACTCAGTGTTAAGGTCATAGCGATCGTACTATTTGTGTGTATTTTTCCATCAAACATAAAGTGGGCAAATTAAATTACTTGGGTTAATTTGGTAGACTCTAATAGCTTTTTTCTATTTTGACTGCCTTACAAACTGAATCCGTAACCTGCCGCCTTGTTCACCGGTCCGTGCCTGTTTCTTTACTCAACGTAGGGCAACAGTGCACTCTGGCACAACCGATCTGCACACCCCAGGACTGTTCATTGAAACCGTCGTGCTCAAAGAAGCTTTCGGAACACTGTGAAAAATGTCGTCCGCCATGTGTTCATGCTGTGCTAAACCTCAATGCCCCTGGAGGCTGTCACCCATGCCTCTGTGAAGTCACCGTTTTCAGACCACCAGCGCACCTTGTCAAGAAACTCGCACAGATTACTGCAGCCACCAAATAGGAAAGGCAGCCGGAGAAACAGAAGTGGACAAGTACTTTTGTAGGCGCAGCATGAACGAGCAGTAACAGAGTCTGAAAATATAAAAACATTATTAGGGTGAGAAAAAAATTTTACCTAGAATGTCCGAGATAACACTCATATTGGTGTTGTTGAGCTTAATTGACAATCACGAAAGAAAACTGCATAAAAAATACTGTGCGTTAACAACTAAGCACATCGAATGAGTTTATTTGCAGTCAAGTAAGTTGCAATTTATGCATACCTTTGGAAGTTACAAAACGATGCTTTTAGTATTAAAAGTAGTAAAAACCACTCTCGTCTAGCCAACGAGTCGACAAAAGAAGTTATTGCGTAAGAAACTTAATCTTTTAAGTAAGAAATTTACCATATCCACTGTATCATGTGGTCTTTATACAGTGTACTTGTTGTTATGCTTTCTTCCTTGGAGAGGAAAAATAACAGGTGCTACGATTTGCATCGTATTATTAAAACAGCAAGCTTGTCCTGAGCAGAGGATGAATAGGTCGCATTGAAAACGTACGAAAAAAAAATAATAGGAATCATACTTACTCTCTAGAGCAATTCCCTAATTACGGTTGAGGCAATGGCTGGGCCTTAGTAACATTAACAAACAAATGTACAGGTTGCATATGTATGTAATATATTAGAAATAGACAATAGCTACACCTCATTATTACGCCGTGTTGATTGTAATTACCTGATAATATTACTTTTATTCAATACTAGATATATCTAAGATGGTATTTGTGAAAAGCAGAAGATGATATGACATAGTCATTCCCTTGAGCAAAGCAGACTGTGTGCGTTTGTGTGTCTATGTGGATTTATATGTATAAATATTGTCGCGAAACTATATATGAATTGAAAGTTTAAATTCTACTTTGAACTTTATTCCTTGACGTTACTATTATATTTAACTTGTATCTAATATTATTTATCCTAGTTATTTTAATGAAGACGTATTTTGACCTTAATAGGAAGAAGGAGTCCGAAAGTTTGAATAGAGATAACAATCAGACTGACAAATAAAGCCTGCAAATGAAAATTCTGTCCGTGTTACTATTCATTAATCTCGGTGGCTAACGCAGAAACATCAAACATTTGACGATTTGCTTCTTCGCAAGTTTACGTAATTCGGTTTATATTTGTAGGTAATTTACACAGTACAGGACAATCCTGATCGGTGCATCTGTCTAACGTGACGTCAAAGGAATTACCTGCGAATGTATCGAAACGAAATAGACTGCAGGTTAAAACGTATCTTTCTGACGCATTTTATAGGAAAATCAGCAGATCGAAACAAATGCAAACGTAAAAGTCCTTATCCTGTCCTACTCTGACCAAAATTTACCGGAACAATGGAGGGCAGTATTTACAAACCACCCATAATTAACAATTGCTGCCTCCTTAATAAGCGCAGGGGAGCACGTAGAAAATGAATAAGCAGTTCATAATAACAGAAATTAACACTCAGAACATAATTTTTTTTTAGATTAGTGCAAAAAACTAGGATAAGATTGTATTTTAGGACGGATATCTACACGCATTCTTCATCTGAATTGTCGTGAATCAATAATACCTTCCTTGAAGTCTGATATGATACCTGTCGGGGTTGGACTTTCTCATTGTTTACAAGTTTTACAGATGATTATTGAATGCAACTGGCTTTGGAAGTAGCAAAGAATGCTGTTATTATTGAAGTTCGAAACAAAGATACAATTTATTAGAAAACAGAGAAAAAACAGCATGTTATTGATTTATGTTACACTTTTTGTAGGCGAGGCGTTACTTGAGGTGCGACATACTCGAATAGTTATCAAAGATAAAGTTACATTCTAAGTAAAGCCATCATCTTAAATTTGATTTAAGGGTTGAATGAGCTCAAAATAGTTTTCGGCAGTGCGCGACGTCTCCATTTCGCTTGTCTCTGAAAGCGAGCTTATAGCTCATGTTCAAAAAAACGTTTTCTGTCTATACCTGAAAAAAGAATATTTATTTAGACTTGGCCAATACAAATAACTACAAGCGAAACTTATGGAAACTTTATAAAGGAAACGAGAGCTAGTGTTTTTGTATATTATAAAAATACTATGTAATGATAAATATGTAGAATCTTATATGAAACGATTCGAAAATTAAAATTGTGAACCACGTACTGAAATACGCGTTTTTACGAAACCTTGCAATTACAAATAAAAATCTATTAACGGCCTATGTGTAACGATGCGGTCCTTCGAATAATGGACATAGAAAATGTCATATTGATTAAAATATGCTTTTAAAAATATCGTTGCTTTTAGCCGTGCTGGAATAGTAGTACGGTAATATAATACACAGCTGTCTACATAACGGACGAATCGAAATTGACGTGCTGACGACAGGAGGTCGATGAGGCAAAACAAGGGGTTCCGTATCATCCGATCTATGAAGTAGACGAAGCCTGTAGCGCTTCACTGCCCAAGGACGTCATAGACAACGGCTGGTCACAAATCCTGTCAGACAGGAACAAGCTGCTAGCCTATTTTAGGCTTAGTTCTATGACAAGAAACATTGCATTGTCGAATGGGGCTTGTTGAAATGAGCAACAGTGGTGATGTACGTTGTTTTTGAACGAATCTATATGCAACAATAATTTTCAAAATGATTTTTGTAACATGTGCATAGTCTTTATTTTTTAACAATGTATTGCATCAGAATATATCTACTTTCAGTTTTATTTGAACATATTTATCGAGCGAACTGCGCGCATGCGGTTAAATGCGATTTTACGTGCTTTTCTTCGTAGGTATATAAACGCTTGAAACATCTACGCTGAAACATAATGCGTCCGCCGCAAGCCTACTTTGCTGTCTCATGAATCTTCTTATGAGAGGCATCACAAACGTAACGCCCCCCACGTCAGGACGATTCGACCCAGCTAGCACATATACAGACCACTGCAAGAGTTGTAAGTCGTGACTGCGTCAGTATTAACACATTATTGGATGGAGTAATAGAGCGGGACGCGGCACCGCTTAGCCATGACAATTGATCGCGGCGAGGGCCTTCCACACAAGCCGAAATACGAATGGAGGAGGGATGGGTTTAGAAACCCATGATCTGCGAAACAGTAAGCAGAACTGGTTAAGAAGCAGCTCTTCAAGGTTGAGCCTATAACAAGCCGATTACTACAAGGTGGCTTGTCACTCCAGCAGTACGGCAGGCCATGACGCATTCAACACCGGACGCATCGAGAGTTGTCAATGCTGCCACCTGCCATTCTCTGACTGCTATTTAGACGCGACGTCGAAGAACGCTGTTGTTACTACAACATAACTCACCCAACTAGTACTGCTAGTACGGCTATTATTGTTGCTAATTGTTACAGCCTTGCTGCTACACGTGTCTTCGAGTATTATTGGGCATCAAATACGATATCAACATTAGGAATATTCGAAGTGACCAGTGCAGCAGTCGGCTATGCGAATAGAGAGGTCAACTCTGGCAGCGTTTTTTTGTTCACACAGAGTCTTCTCGTTTCCGTCCGAACGGTTGCCAATATACTCTGTAGGAGATCGCTAAGACAAGAACAAACACTGTTCGTGGCGTCGTGGGGTGACAGCGTGTTGTCGAACGGTTATGCTGATCGAATGGTTCCGTTAGCAACTTCATTGTACGAATGCAACATGTATGTCGCTCTTACAGTGCCAGCTATCGACAAACGTCGCAGCGAGCCGGTAGCAGCCCCGGAATTGCATCAAAATTTGACGGTGTGCACTTCAGCGCCGCATCACCTTTTTCGGGAATTCTGCTCCGAGGACGCCACCGTTGGAATACCGACACCTCGTTCTAGCCCGTCGAGATCGGGTATATTGTCGGCGTCGGCCAGCCCGAAACGAAGTGCGTCGTCAGCTTCTGTCGTACCCCCGCGACGTTGTTCGACAGCAATAGCTGATCGTCGCATATCGGCCGCGCCTTCATGTTTCGTTATTGGTGGCGTAATAGGTAGCGCTGCTGGGGGGAGCAGCGGGTCTCGCCAACGCAGAGCTGATGACGATTTCGACGGCTGGCTCGAGTTTTATCAGAAGCGAGTTCCGCCCCCTAGGAAAAGCTCTCTTTCGTGTCTTTCGCCGAACGCTGGGGGGTACCGCTGTCGCTCATTCTCGATCACGCCCAAGGGTAGCGTACTTAATCTTGGCGAGGTGCTCTTGGGCGACCCATCGCGAAGACGCAGCACTGGCTCTTGCAACGATCGTTCGGACATTCAGCTTCTGACGTAGCGAATACGACTCGTTGGCGCGTCTGGCGTAGGGAAATCGTGCCTTGTGGAACAGCTTAGAGACGGCTTCTCTAATAACACAAACGAATTAGGATACCTCGATATTGGTAAGTGCATTCTATGCAGTAAAATGGCAGAGGCGCGGCTGTTTATTTTAAAGGACGTGATCTCATTGTCCCGCGTTCGTAAATACGCCTTTTTCCAAATGTACAAACGTTTCACAACCGTTGTGTACAATGCTTACGAAGGGTTTGAACTTTTTTGTGACAATGTATATATTATGGAAATCTACATTTTGATGGCAACGGGCGTAACAGAAAAAATTTGCGTTTTAAGTAAAGCTTTCTGTATTGAGGCTTCGCTACTTGTTTTATTGACTCGCTGTGGGCAAAGTTCGTATGAAGTATAACAGGGCTATCGGAATGATAAAAATGATAGTATCTATATTTGGCACTCTGATCGATTTGTGCTTTCTCCTATACTTAAACATATCGCCTCTCACCGTTTAGGGGCTTGACTAAATGTACGTGAATATTTGAGAATATGTAAGGTTCTTGCAAATTAAGTTGACATTTTGGAGGTTCTTTCAGTTCGATTGCTTGAGGTTGCTTTACCCTTTTGAGGCCAGGAGAGCACAAATACTACACATACCTGGGCACAAAATAATCGCTTAAGTTTATCAGGATTCAACAAGAGCGCGCAGCATGTACAACTACAATTTTTTCAAGTTAATGAAAAAGTTCAATTTCTAAAAAATTGACTGTAAGGCACGTATTGCACGCATAAGTTTATAGAGGAGTTTAAAATTTATTTTATTATGACCTTTATTGATAGTGCAGGCAAGCATAGTAACTGGCCGTCATATATACTGGGTGTTGCATCATTTCGCCATTTGTCACAACGTTGCCAATGGCTGAGCTATCTTGATAGCAAGGCCGCTATAATTATGATTTTAACCTAGGGGTGAGAGCGTAGGTGCTTTACCACACCTCATAGACGAAGATTAGTACAGGTTATAAACGTCAAGTCGAAAATTGGATGACAACGACGCACTTCCTGTTATTTGGACATTATGTACTATGGATAATGAGTAGTGAAACGTCACGCAGTATCTATAAACTTCGATGAGAAAACGCGAATATTCCAGATTTGATACTACCATCTGTAACTCATTGGTCAGCTCAAACCGAAAACAGCTCCAGAGATAGCATGCTCATAGATGTCGAAGACTACTATATGTCCCCAGCTCACAAAGATATAGAGATGCACAAGGTGATTTAACGGGTTTACCAACGTGTAACTTCGTGGCGAACTTATAAGAGAAATCTGCGTTGTGTACACAACGAGCATATTGCCATAGGAATGTATCTTGTGTTGCAAAGTTAACTAAAAATTCCGTAATTGATATTAGCAGCTTTAATGATTAATTTCAAATTTAGCGATTTTCATTTCTAATAGAACGAGCCTATTTTTTTTTTTAGAAAATGTCAAAAGTTTCGTACACTTTCCACTGGTGTAGCTAAGCGGCAATTCGATTATTGTTGTTTCAATATGTTACGCCAACTGTGTTGGAATAGGCGTACACCTTCAAGGTCTAGCGCTTCGTCAAATACATGCTAACGTACGAATGTGTATATATATATATAGAAACTTCTGAAGGTCATTTGCATAGAGGTTCCACGTTATTTAGCGCGAGCACAAATGTACGATATTCAATATTAGAAACTTGTCCCTCGATTAATACAGGCTACTTTTCGAAGAGTGGCAACTTAGTGATTTGTACGTTATTTACGGTTGGTACAATTATTGCTAAGTAACTTTTACTGAAAGTGTGATGGAGCTCTAAGGAAAACCGTTTTCAAAATAACCTTTTCCTACATTTTATTTAAAACCCACAATCGTACTGAAAAACAAATACGCTTTGTGGAGAATTCAAAGGATTTTTTCCGGGTCCTTTCAGAGTTGGCTTTAGAGCGGCAAAAACACGAAGTGAACTATCTGCCTGCAGCCTATTGGTTGTGTTGACAGACCCATTGAATTGGCTTCCTGAAGCTTGAACCGGGTGGTAGTTATATTATTACGCCTCAATTGCGCCCAGTAAAGCAAAAATCAGATCGCAATATCTTAAACTTGAGACGCGATATTGACGTATTTTAAGAAATCACATCAGGTTAAACTTCAACGACGCGATTAGTTGAGTTCAAAGACAATAATAACACGATCTATTCTACAATGCGAATGGCTCGTTTGAAAGTAAGATAAACGAATTCTATTCAAGAGACAGCACGGTACGCGATCGCGCACTGCTGAAAACGATAAGCCTGTATTTGTATAGCTTTTTCCACAGTGGCTCGAAGACAAAATCGGTAAGTTAGCGGTTATTAGATATCCTGGTCTACGGCTATCGGAACCGACACGTAGCTGGCTGATTCTTCAACCTATATATATATATATAGGTTGTCTATGTATCTGAAATATATATATATAAATAAATCTCGATATATATATATATGTATATATAAAATCGAACTGTTCATTTCATTGGCTGTACAAAATAACCGCATAGATGTTTCATGACAGTTGTCTGTCTATCGGCAGCGGCACCAGCTCTGTCTTTCCCATAGTAATATAGCTATGAGCACGCACCTCTACACCACTTGTACAGCGTATATTTCCAATTGTATGATAATAAGATTGTGCCGGTTAAACATCATCGATCGGATGCCACCGATCTGCCGTGACAGCAGCTGATGGTATAAAACTTCGATAAAAAAAGATAGAGGACTTCTTGATGTTAGTACGTCGAGCATTGAAACATTAATGCGGTGCTTGCGTAAATGACTGAAGTAAGTGAATCGATCAAATAATAACCTGTTACTGAAAGCGGTAGCTATGAATATTGGGAAAGTCCATTACTTTCTTTTTAACAGATGGGGACACGACGGGAAAGATGGATCAAATATTTTCTGTGCTTTCGCTGAAGTCCTCGTACGCCCTGCTGAGAAAACGATTCTGTGATGATGAATATTTTACAATATGTGCGCAAAATACGTTAGGTTGTCGACAATGTTATGTTGTTACTGCACATGCTTTCAAATAAACGTTTCGTAGCGACAGAATATTTATTCCTGAGAGTTCACGTAAGTTCGAGACTAAGAAAAAAAACAGCCAGAATTTCTTCCGGATCATCCATAATTGCCAGCTGAACTAAAAGTTAAAAATGTACAGTTTTAAAGATCGTACAAATAAGCGTATACTTTTTGCAATAAGTACACCTAGTCTAAAGGTACGTACTCTTGAAATGGAGCTAGACTAAAACTTCATAATAGAAGAAGCACTTAATATGCCCCTCTACAAAGTCTATGAGCTAGTTGTCTCAAGTTCGTTTTTCATCGTATGCGATTACATTTGCAGAAGAAAATTCATATTTGGCCCTCAGAAAGTTTTGCTTTGGAGCTAAATGAGGTAATAAATGCAAGAGAGTCCATAAACATAATGAATTAGACAGTTTCAAGCATAACGCGTGTAGTTGAACAACACTTCACTGAAACTGGAAGAAGTGCTTAAAGATTCTACAAAAGGTGCCTTTTTTCCAGCGTACTCTCACCCGTAGATCTGCCTTCATATCTCCTACTATGAAGCATTGTTGCTTTGTTTAACATTCATTAACATCAGGCGGTTGTGGATATAAAAAAAAACAGGGCGTCTGTTGCTCGATAGTCCAGGATAAAGGATACTAGACTCATGAAGGTGTGTTCTACTTTTTCCACAGTGAGCTGTGTTCACCCTGTACTGCCATAGTAATAATAATAATATAGATAACAAAAAATTGCGATCCTGTATGTGTTTGATGAGCTACGCAACTAGGCATATTTCTTGATTCTGATTAGCTGCAGCGTTTCACTGCAGCAAATACTGGCCTTTTTTGAGAGAAATACACGTCAATACAAAACGCTACCTTCCATTCCATAAGGACCACCCAGCTAGCTAGCTGGATGGTCCTTATGAATCCGATAAGTAGATTTCGCAACGGTTGGGTACCTGCACAAGTGTTGTGGGCGTACCGCTTGAGGACTTATTACCTAGTTGTTGGTGCCGGTTAGATTAAGATGCATTATTCATTGCTCGTTTCGCATAGAACGGATAGAGGGCCCACATTCTATTCCACCAAATGAAATAGTAATTTCTCGAACAGCACATTTCGGAGAAGATGAATGTCATCTGCGATTTGGTATTCTGTAGGAAGAATTTTTTCTAAAAATGTTTTTGTTCTCCCTGCGTTTTTAGAAAGAGCAAATTCACCAACTAGCACTAGACAACTGGCGTCCTTTCTATCGCCTTAATGCCCACTAGTCTGTAAGCGGGATACTTCTCAATTGAGTATGGCTTGGAAGCCATACATGCTATTGTTTATAGATGCTCAGTAGCTCTCTTTACTAATACAATTGTACACCGTTTGTATGTGGAAACGCTAAGCAACAACCTTTACCTTTTTGATAATAGATGTAATTTACAGCATCTACACAGACAAACTGCAGGTGCTTTTTTCTCTCTTCGATCAATTGTCGCATGTTGCTATAATATATGGATTTCAACACTGTTTACTTAGACGTGAGCCATCCAATTAGCACGGTTTCCAAAATATGGCCTGTGTGTATCTGGTATATATTTAGACAGAATCAAGCTCAGAACTTGTGGGATTTCAGGAATTGATTGTACCGTTGACAGGTAGGATATTTATCTTTTAGAGTTTATAGAACATGTCACATATAAGCTTGGAAGGACTATCTACTGGTTAAGCAGGTTCTGATTCAATCAATTTTCGATTTGGTTCTATAAGTCAGCTTAGCAATATGTATGACAAAGACAGCCAAGTTTAATGAGACAGTATTTAAAGACGAAGTTCAAGTCATGCTAATTATCTAGCACACTATCATCATTGTGTTTGGAACAGAAAATTACAGATCCTACGACGACTACCTCCAACAATTTTGTGTAATTAAATTTTGTTCGATTTTCAGTAACGAGTCCACCACCGTCAGCGCAATGCAGCCTGGATACTCAGTCAACGAGAATCCTTTTAGACGGAGAGGAGTTTGATGTTGATTTTGATGAACTGCTTAATACAGACGTATGTCGTTTAAAATGGATTCTGCTGATGACCGCACGAAAAGAAAACAAACGGCTTCAATAAAAGTTTCTTTGATATATGGTTAAAATAAAAGTTTATTAGGTAACTGGCCTATTACATACACTTTTGCGGAAATTAGGCAACTGGGTGTTGCAAATACAGCAAAGCTACGAATGGATTAATTGTGGGGCTTACCACACCCCTTATGTAATTGCTAGTTACAAATCTGCGTACCGTCCGTACCAGCATCTTTTCTCATCCCGTATATTTATATTATATATTTCTACAGCCTATGAGAAGAAGCGTTCATCCCTTACCGTTCTGAAATTCGGCGGCTTTGAAGTCGACAGTTCCTCCGTTCAAGAAAGATCCCACAAACACTGTTTACCGTTATAGCCTTATATCCAAATATATTTCTTGAATTCTAAAATCACGAAGTAACTGCTATTAATGCGGTTTTCCTGCTCCTACGTGAGTTAGGCAAGGTGTATTTTATGAAACTAATAGAACCCCACTTGGCTCTACTGATTTCTTGTGCAGGTTAACATTGACAGTGTGAGCAGATCAGATGCGTTCGTCGTAATCTACTCTGTCACAGATCGTTCGAGCCTGGACGCGGCGGAGGACACCCTCAAGTGCCTGCGAAGAACTTTCGGCTATTGTCGTGGAGGAACTAACAAACGACGCCCTCTTGCGGCCACGTCACGACCTAGCCAACATGAACATTCTCAGGCACTTCAGGCTAAACCCATCATACTTGCCGGCAACAAGGCAGATCTTGCCCGAAAGCGAACCGTTTATGTCGAAGGTTGGTTGAATATCATGCTTCTAATGTCCTAGTCTAGTCACACAGATCGTGTGATCCACAAGTTGCGTTGGTATAACATTACGATAGGCGACGCAAGTAAATTCTTAAGAGAGACGATGATGATAATAATTATGTTCAGCAGCCTCAGAGCTGCGCAAATCATACGTGTAGCTGGTTGAAAAGGAGTGATATGCACGCTATATTTTTATTGAAACTTAACGATTCCAGTGTTCTTCCTTCGATCATTACGCGTAACACACATTTCATGGAGGGTAAAAACAGTCAGCTTACAGGTTCAGGATTTACTTGTGTCCAGCGTTATTCTGAGACCCGCTGAACATGTAAAAATACTATGCATATTGTATAAAACAAAGTGCTTATGTTTATACGTTCAACTTAATCAAAAATCGTTTCAGTAATCGAAAACTAATGAATCGTGTATTGTGCCCAGTTGTATATTATACATATAAGACTAAGTTGCAGTTATTATATGTAAAGTTACGAGCTAGGAGAAGCGATGTAGCGCTTGTAGCGTTGGACATATAGGAGGCAAAGAACAATGTTGTCTTTAGTTGTTAGTTTCAATGAACGCATTTATACAAGCGCCATTCAATCCTATTAAGTAATAGCCAAAAAAAAAACAGTTTTTCCGTAATACGTGCATACGTGTAATGCTTTTCTATATAATTTTAGAGGGACGCGCTTTGGCCAAGAGGTTTGATTGTCGTTTTCTCGAGACGTCCGCTTGTATCGGTCACAACGTTGATGAGCTGCTTGTAGAAACCTTGAAACAAATTCGACTTCTGAAGCGCCGCTCACCGTCGCTTCCCGGTTGGTCACTATCGTTTCCGGCAAAGTTCGTCGCGTGTTCAGAAATCACCGATCTGCCATCGCTTACCGGTGCATCCGCTCCGTCGAACGCGGCAAATTCAACTCCATGTTCGGCTGCGATAGCCGGGCGGTCAGAGGCTCGAACCTTCTGCTTTAAAGCGAGAAGTTTCTCACGGAGGTTTTAGACTTGGTGCGATTCTAGCAGGACGCGGTCTTATGATGATCTGGACGTCCTGTGAGATGACGCACAAGTTTAAGATTTTCTGATAGGATGTTTTAGCGTAACTCTCTTTGTGGCAAAAAAAAACAACTAAATCGAAAGTAGATTGACAGAAGTGGACTAAGAATTGTAAAATTTTGTGAAACACGCCAGACTTTCTGCGAACAACGAGCCAACAGAAGCATACGTAATGGAACCCTTAAGAATATATCTGTGGTGTATTAATGCTTACATAACTTTAGCTATGACAACTAGTCATTCTTAAAACGTTTGAATTGTCTAAGCTTTTCTGGAAATTATTTTTCGAGGTAAGTCTGAAGAGTATGCCTTGTGCGACGAACTTTTGTGGTCGCGACCCAGGGTCTTTATTTCCGTATTGCTTATTTACAATTTTAGATCAACAAACGAAAGGTTCTAATTACATTTTATTATGCTGTTTATTGTGTAAATAAATATTTGTAGTTGTAGTTGTGATATAATACATGAATGGCCAGAAATTGTTGCACAAATAAGCTATAATAGCTACGATTCATATTGGCGCTATGGAAAAAAAAACATTGATAACGATATCTAGCGCGTAACGATCATTTGAAGTTTCGCGACGAAAGCTTTGTGTCTACAGCGATGAGTCTATGTTGTACTTATTTAATTTGCTTTCATAAACCTCTTACTAGAAAGAGCAAGCTAATATTCGAATTTCTCTAGATCGGTCTTCGAAGCTGGTCGAGAATACAGACGAGGGAAAGATCTTTCGTTGACACAGACCGCTTACTGACAAGACGTCTAGAGGAAGTAACTTAATTCTATCAATTCGTATTTAGTAGTTCAAGTAGAAATTAATAAATAGACTATTTGCTATTACGTAAATAGCTTTCAGCTTGCTTGACTTGATAGAAGATAGTCTTTGATTCTCAGAATGATAAGATCAGAGTTATTCGGCAACTTAGTATAAAGTATCTCTACAAAGATGACGAACTAGAAAGTTCATTTTACTGGAGCTAACAAAACGAGCATCAGTAGAGATTTAATCATGTAGTTTTAATAGACAATTGAATCTGCAGACTTAAATCTTGCAATCCTTTGTGAATCTTGTCTCGATCTTTATCTTGAAATGACTTATTTTTGGACGTATCCGTAGAGACGATCTTCAGAAAAAATCCTTTAAAGCGGAGAGTTAAAAGTTTTGAGTTCCAAGTATGCCTCTATATATAATGCCGGTACAGGTTTTGGGCGGTACCTTCTCACATATATTGAACAGCGCTACAAGGATTGGTGCTTTTACTTAAACAACTTTTCAAATGCCATAAATAGTCGACACGCTGCGATACCCTATACCAGTTAAATTCAGTATTTTATACCAAGTGGCACTGAGATCAGCTCCTAAAATGTAAGAGATAATAATTACTAGTTTTGTGGATCACACAATAGAAGAGTTTGCCGTAATTCCCATGTTGAAACCATGAGTGACCTACGGGATTGGGAAGATCGTGCTCGTGAAGAACTTAACGACATCCCTGAGTTACGAGAGGCTCGCCTCAATGAGTTTCGTCGAGCTATGCTCAAGCTTGAGACTGAAGATTTCAAACCTTCGCAGGATGACGGGCTTTTGATGTTATTTTTGCGCTCAAGAAAGTTTGACCTTGAGCGAGCTTTGAAGACATTTAAAGCATGGGCTGTTATGCGAACGGTTGATCCTGACGTATTTTTTCCTTTGGGCAAAGGACCTATGGACTATCGTCACGTCATCGATTTACCCATATTTACAGTGATGCCCCGAGTAAATCATGACCGTACGACAGTCATCGTAACCACATACAAGCACTATAACCCGAGCAAGTTTAATTTCCTTGACATCTTCACGTTGGGATCGATGCTATGCGCTTACTTACTTCGAGATCCCTATATCCAAACGTATGGTGTGCGCTGTGTAATCGACTACCGTGGACTACATACGACGTGTCTCAAAGCAATACCATATAAGTATATAAAGGCATGTATTTCACTACTATGCCCATCTCTTATATTCGGCTCTGATAGAATTTTTATATGCATATAGTTGATTTGAGAGCAACTGAAGCAAAGAGCAGACGTTTCCCTAGTATTTTCCTAGCATATTACAATAATGCAACTTATTGCTGAGTTTGTTTCAGGTCCTATAGTTTTTTTTTTTTTTTTTTTTAGAAAAAAGTTCGGGGTCCTCTTTTTTTGGATAGACGCCTTGATTTTTAGCCAAAGTTATTATTGTATTTTTCTTTCAAAGTTGATAAGATTTCAGGTTCTTATTTTTTCTGCATTTTCTCTATCTATTATTTGACAAGTTGTATCTCAGAAATAGTAGCCTTGCTTTTATAGCCTCGCTTAGCGAGAGAATACAATTAGTATACTTTTTATCGATAATTATTTTTCTTTGGCAAAAACGTTAGTTCAACGTGTTTTGAAATGTTATACTTTTAGGGCAAGTGAAAATTACTGCGGCATTATTTCTAAAGCTGTACGAAATTAAACACATACTAAATATAGGAAAAACACGTATAGATTCTTCTAGATTCCTGTCAAATGCGTGAAAAGGGACAAGATGATTGCTTGTAGTAGAAGCAAATAATATCTTGAATCCTAAGAAATGTGCATGTGTTAAAACATGAGGTTTAGAAGATTTTTGAAAAAAACTCAGACTACAGTTTTACAGCTCATGATAATGGAATTTTTGAAAAACACGATATAGGGATTTACAAATATGTAGGTGATCGAAGAGATATACTATAGTCCATCCGTAACGAATAAGCTTATTATGCAAAATTATATAGTTATTTGCGGTTATCAAAGGTTAACAGTACTTCAGTTCAAATGACCAAACATCTAGTAGGTTGCTTCGATTCAGCATGAAACTATAAGCAATTTGGAGTTATTCCAAGAGAACTCGATCAAACTAATCTAAGCTCATAATAATATAAGCGTTTTTTGAAAATTATAGGCAATAGTTTTGGGAATTCGTGATGGCTGTCCAGCGCGCATAAAAGGAATTCACCAAGTTCATACACCAGGTTTTCTTCAGGTCGATGTTTTAAAACTTTCATGTTAAGCTTCGAACGCATAACATTTAGCAGCATACCTTTACTGTTTCCGCAAAAGATGGCGCTGCTGTCTCTGAACACTGTGAGATTTGAATACATGATTAGCTCTTGTTTTCAGAGTGTGTGATGACGTGTTATTTGTTTATTTCGCAAGAGTGTCTGCTACGTTGGGCCAGCCATGGCAGCACACGTTGTAGACCTGAATTTGATACTGATGCACTTTGTGATGGTGTTTTTAGAAGAATACAAGTAGTCCTACCCGCGAGTCTTCAGTTTATTTCTTATTGAGTTAAACGGTATCATCAAGAATAGTTAACGAACGTTTATCAATCATATATCCTCCCCTCACCCGGTCAACCCAAATAGCATCGACAAATATACAAAACGAAAAAACAATATATATATATATATATTTGAAGTTGCTTGACATTTTTAGTAAAGAACAAATAGATGAACTTGCTGGCTGGTGTATTTTATGGCTATTATAGTCTGCTTGTAATTAAATATACACTGTCGTGCCAGGAAATGGTCACAATCACATGCGACGAAGGTTTGTGTCTCAACTGAAAAATACTTCAATTTTAATTTCTATTTGTGTATGAATTTTGGCAAATTCGCACATTCAAAAAATTCGGATATATAAAATTCTCCAGCAGATATTCTCCAGATATTGTTTGTCGTTTGAAAGAACATCTTGCAACCGTTAATGTGGTAATATTACTATGTCACAATGATAGGCTAAGATGTAGCTTAATTTGCTCTTTGTTATTCGTTTTTAGATGTTATACTATACTATAAAGCCACTTCTGGATTGCAAGCTCACCTCAAGGACCCATTTTCACCATAAAATAGCGGATCTATACAAATACATTGACCCACAAATTTTGCCCGAAGAACTGGGGGGTACTTCTGGGCCAATGAAACCAGGAAAACTTGAAGAGAATTTCTTGGCCAGTCACGACGACATCGTTCAACTCAACTACTGCGGCTACATCATATAACTGAACTACAATTTGATTCCTTGAATGGTACAGAGATACAATTATCGTTTTAAGTAATCGATACTAACCAGGTCCATTGAAGTTCTGAAAGATTACTAAGTTTAAGAATAAACAGGCTGTAGTAAGCTGTTCAAATAATGCCTCTATAGAGTGGGCAGAGCTCTCGTTAGACCCAAATTCACTGCAATGCAGTTCTGAGTACACTACATCTCTAGGTGGTTGGCTGGATCTGAGCTAGAGAACCTCTCGCTTAGGTTATCCTCAAAGGTTTCTCGAAGATATAAATCTTTGAGCATTTCTCAGTGTATTCAGTCAATGGCTCCGAGGTAAATCTTTTGGGTTTGCATCAGTTATTCTATACGGCGTACCAATGATATAATTCTGCTCCGCGCTGTTTCACATCAGTTGGATAGATTTGGAGGGCAATTTGTTCAATTGTTTTTAAGTATTATCGAATTTAATAATCTACGTTAGTTTAGCAAGTTCGAACAATTTAATAGATTAATCTAAAAACCAGATAAGTTTTATATTTGCTTCTCTTTTATAATTAATGAAAAGCTTCTTTGTTTCGTCTCGTCTGTTCTACAGTTATTTAGCAACGAATTTATACCTTACCCGAATGGAAATATTATTGGCTCAGTTCAGTATCAGTTTATTTACTATTAATTTACATTGACAATCAATATAATTTGTGCGAAAGAACCAAACATGCTAAATGACAAATAATTATAGAAGCAAGCGTTTAAGGGTAAATAAATAGATGAATGAATAGAACTTTGTTCAGTGGCAGTGCCGTATCATTCCCAAGCTTTCTTAAAAAGCTTCCTGCGCTAACTTAACGATTATCAAAGTCTTAGATGATTGCCTGGATAACTTAGTCGGACTTCTCAGGAGGGTGTATATTCTTTTAATGGACTGTGCACCCAAGGAATAACTGTTGGTGTGCTTCATCTATACATAAAAAGCTCCTAATATTACCCATTTGCGACAATGTACGATCGTACAGAACTCAACTATTTTGGTTTGCTACTTAGCCACTAATAATAAATAAAAATATTTGCCCATTATCTCCAGTTTGATTTCCCTAAGACGGGGTAGAGTGTATTGCTTTAACTCTTCGTGGTGGCTGTAATGTATTAGCGTTATAAAGCTGAATAAGCTCAAATCGAATTGTATACATGACAAGTTGGTAGGCTGGTAAAATACTAGACAACATAATGATAAGCGGCTACCCCCACCCCGCACCTCCAAAAAAAATTACCCAGATTATTTGAATCACTAAGTTTTCTCTTGAGTCATAAAGCTAACGATATTATATATATAGCGATGTCCAAGCTACATATTTTCAAATTAAAGAGCACAGTACCGAATACACCCAAGAAAAAATAAAATTAGATTATAATTATTACGATATTATGTACAGTACTAAGTTTACTGTAAACCGAAAGTAATTATTAAATTTTTGTGAGCATTTATGGCTATATTTTAAATAATGTGCTTTAGGGTAACTCGTGTTTTTACCGTCTGGAGCAGTTATTAAGATTAATCCGCATAGTCTTAATAGTTCGATGTTTTTCGTTCAACTGCCTTTCAACCGAGACAGCTAATTCTCTCGTAGACAGCTTACGTATCGGATAATTACTAATTGTTTTGTCATTTTTCTACTTGCTTACTCAATAGTTACTTTTTCGGGGATATTTAGAAATAGCCATCTCTCCATATTTGTATGACCACCATTTCGATGTCATATATTCACAGTGTCTATGGCTTTTACGTGCAAAACTGTATGAACCATAGACTCGAAGCTATGGTGTTTGATTATACTGAATGGATATTCATGGGCCACGTTATCTAGGCGCTTGTCATTAAGAAGTAATTACTGCCAAAGCGGGCGAACACAAAGCCTGACTCAACTACAAGATATCACCTATTAATTTTACGTTAGGCCAAACAGTACACAATAGCCAAGCGTAGGTTCAAATGTAGCTTAACCTTTTCTTTTTTTTGTAACCAAAAAAGATAGTAACACAGAGATTTGCTTTTATTTAAAAACATTCATTTGCTTTCAAGTGATAGAGGGTGCTATCAAGGAACTCTGATCGTCATTAGACACGTTCCAAGGGACACTGCGACATCGCTGCTACATTGATCTTTTACTTGGTTGCATTTTAACAGAGACTGTTAGAATGTCATTTGCGTGGGGCTGTATAGTGAAGTCCTTGTACACTCTATCAAGACCTTGTCAGGGCAAAAAGGTACAAATAAAAAGATACTAACAACACTACTCTTTCTGAAGCTGTCTGGGATATGGCGTGCAACTCAAGCCTTGCACCAGCTGACAAAAATTGCAACTTATAAATGCGTCCTTCTTCGTAGGTAAGTGTAGTTTTTGCTGCTTAGCATTCTTATGTTTAACGTGGGCACCTATCTAAGAAAAATGTATCTATCTATGCCGATATATTCACGCATATTGATCATACTTCCCTATGTTTACGTGCTGCTTACGAAAATATTCAATGTGATTGGTACAGATCCCAAAAGCTCGTAATTTTCTTCTGTCAGCTACACTTCATAAAAAATAGCCTAAAGCTATTTGTAAATGATGCAGATGCCACATTTTTGAGAAACCGTAATAAAAGAAAACAATTATAAAAAACCATAATACTCAACAACCGTATCGTGAGCTTCGTACAAGATTTGTAATACATATTTTGCCTATGTAGGGTAATAATATAGGCATTCCTAGAAGTTGCGTTCTAAAATGCAAATACAAATAAGATTTCCAGAACTGAAGCAGAACACGCGAAAAGCAGGTGTGCTAGCTGCTTTGATTAGGTGCAGGTTTTTTCCGAAACACGCGTATGGCCTTTACTAATGTAATCATGATTAACGGAACTCCTACCGCAAAGGAAGGTGTGTGCGGAAGGTGATTGAGCAAGGATCCAATGCGATCTGCGATGGAAACGTCGACCTGCCGCTCATGTTATTAGGGAAACGTTTAAAGATACACATGTCTTGATGCGGAATTGAGCAAATCGAAACCGTGACCGTAGAGAATACCAGTTACAATGAACGTTCAGGTCGATACATGCAAAATATGTCATACTGGTAGTTATCGCTATTTAACCAGTGCTTATGAACAAGTCACATCTAAATAGTCCCAATAAGTAGTAGCCAGGCTCTACAGATGTGCCTAATTTACTGCTCGTGGAACTCATCAATGACGATTTAGACTAAGAGAAAAACGGAGCTGAACATGACAGAGAAATGAATTCGTTAGCTAACTTAGTCTGTAAACACTTTGTCCAAAGTGATCCATTCACATTGTGTGCATTTGGGACAAATGATTGCCTACAACCAGGTACGTAGCCTCTATACTGTCCACAAACAACAGACAAAGACTTTGTTGTATTACGGATTCGTTGTATCGGAGGATTGCTTCAAGATTATATCGAGCGTTTTCACAGGAGACAACTGTTCCTGTTCGTATGACAGGATTTTAGAAAAATACGATACTGTATGATGGGCTAATGTCACCTTTCAGAGTTTTACGGTTTAAGGCATATGGATATCCTCGCATCATCCGCAAACAGCCATTTTACGGATCAGAAGACGTAGGTCTCATCTTTTTACCTTCTTGGAGACTACTATCGCTAGCGCGAGTCGATCGGATGTTCTCGTAATGACCTGCTCTGTCGCAAAGTATACTAGTATAGAGCCATGAATGACATCCAATGCCTATGCTAAACCTATAATTGCTATCGTTTATAGTATCATTAATAGAATGAGATACAAAGCTTAAGATACTGAGAGAATGTGAGCCGGCGAAAGAACAGATTTTTTTTTTAGCATCGTGCGAAAATCAGAACCACGCACTTCGAAACGAACATTTCCATCAGATACCCCGAAAGACGTTTCAGATAACTTATTCTAGCTAATCAAAACAGTTCTCAATTGATCTATGTAATTCACTGAAATATTACGAGTTTAAAAAGTTGTTTATGCCAATGGCGCTATCGACGGGATTATCGGAGCCGATTTAGCTAGAATTATCTGATTTTTACGTGTTACGACATGCTCCAAGCATAATGGAGCGATTAATTGTTACTTTACTACGAATCCCGAAATTACTGGCAATGAGTGGACGGCACGATAAAAGTTAGAAAAAGTACATAAATAAAGTTACAACAACGACCAAGCCTAATCTCCACTTCTTTCTATACGGCTCATACGCGTTTTGTGGGGCTAATGGAAGTGCAGCGGGCAAAGACGGGTGCGGGAATGGTGATGTTTTGGGCATACCGAGAACTCCGATCTTTAATCTCCTCTACAAACTTCTCTCGGAGGAATAAATGAGTCTAATAGTGCTACAATGGTGCCATTTATATTTTACATACCATTTAAGAGAGATTTCCGTAAAAATGGACGTTTGTCTTGGATATTCTAGATTTAAGCAGAGCTGGGTAAAATGCGGATCCTGCGTATGTCATGAGCGGCTTAACATGTATCTTGATTAGTCCGATGTATAAAGTCGGGTCTTTCAGAACAAATAGGTGTAATATCCAGTTCGAGCGGCGTGTTGCGCGGAGAAATGTATCTATCGCATGCTTTATGCACTCTAGGATAACCGTCGTGGCAACTTTTGAAACGTGAATAGTTCTTACTGTCTGATTTTACCAGTGGATCACACATGATTGAGATCTCTGCGCCCAGAATATAGAACGGTACTTTTTCCTTAATTGATAGTTTTATATCTAATCGTTTGGCCCTCTCGGAAAACTTACATAGGGCCCTGCAACCGCAAGCCGTCTCGTCTCTGCATCTAAATCTACATGCGTTTTACAAACATAGATGGGGATGATAAGTGCATAGTTGAATTTATATAGAAAATACACTTGAGGGGTTTCAGGATTAATTCTGTACTGTGACGTTATACCCTTCGATAGAGATTTGTGTTCCTTATAGATATATAGAAAAAAAAAAAAAAGAAATAGAATCTACACCCTGAACGAAACAAAAAATCTTGCTGATTTACAATCACTTACAAAAGGAACTTATGCCAATTAACATTAGGCGATGTTAGCTGACCGACGGCTTTCTAAGTAGTGGTGCCGACTACATATTACGGCATTTCTAAGACTTTTTCTAATTCTAGTTGTTACTTTAATAATATACATTTGTTATTAGACAGGTGCTAAAGATTTTCGCAAATGATTATGGAGCGCTAGTTAAAATACAACAAAATGGCGAGTAGGTGATTCTAGATCTTATTATGATTTCCTATAGGGAAAAGCGTGCTCGAGAAGAACGTATATTGCGCAGCTATTATTTAACGATACTAAATATAACCTACTCAGGCATCGGTGAAGCAAAGAAACCCAACCTTTGCTTGAGTCTGTTGCATAATCACTACGTTTTATTAATCATATAATCGAACCTCTTCTAATCAGAAATTCAGACCACATTTTAACTAACAATATTCTAATTCTTGCGGGACTGTTTTGTAACAGAATATGTTTTGATAAAATCAGAAGGAACATAAGTTTCACTGTTCTCTTTTCTAGAACCTGATTTGAAGCTATTTCGCCCATAATTTTAAATCACGTAAAACAACAGGTCAGATGACTAGAAGTTTCTTCAATTTGGGGTACTTATTTAACTTGACATTTCGGCTAGTTTTCAATAAAGTTTGAAAACTGTGCGACTCAATTCAAGGGCGGCAGATTTCATATAAAGAGGACTCTTGTTAAGGTAAACGTGCTACATACGATATGCGAATAAAAAAGGTAGCAGCGAATCGATACCGTAATCGAATGATGAGGTGTTAAAAAGAATATACTGCCTTTCAGGACTTGGTTTTTGTCAGGTTACGATAACGTATAATGGTAGCACCACTGGCAGGCCTCAACGTGTTATCAGTTGAGCGTAGAGAAGGAAAGCATGATTGAGTGTGAATTTTTTCGTGCTATAGATTTTACCGTTTTTTAAGCAAATAACGAATGTATTCGTTTCACAATAAATATTGATTAATATACTGCTTAGTTAACCTCAGAATAGGGCAATTGACTGTTTCTACTTTTCAAAAACCGTCTTTAACAATTATTTTTGAAATTATATTTTTTTTGGCATAATCCTTAGGTAAAAACACAGGATGTCTCGAAAAAAACGTACATAGAGTTTGAATAATAATAATAATAACAACTTTATTTCTTATCTGCATATGATTAATATTCAAGTTATAGCTACATAAAATGCATAACCTTTGTCCTACCGCATCCAACCTTATTGTCGTTCTAATCAATACACTGCAGACGACGATTGATTGCTGGTTCATAGACCTTAACAAATGTTTTTAGCGCGCGGATTTTATCTTTAATAAAACCTATTGGCGAAAGGTTTAGGGCATGACCAAACTATTTTATGGAATCCCTTCGTACAATCCATTTTATCCATAACATTAAATGTGACGGACACTTTTGGGATCATTATAACTTTCCAGTGCCCTTTCTTAACTAGTGCAGCATGTTGAAGCATCCTAAACAATTTAATTCTTCTTATATTTACCTTACACACGATTAGTTCTAGGTCACGTAGGTGAGCCTACATTTTCATACTTCCAATTGAATTTTGAAGTAATTTTGTTGGTCACACGTTGATGTTGGTCTACTCATTATTTCTAACTAATTACACACTGAAAAAAGAACGACCAAAAAAGAGTGCACACGTTTTAACCATTCATACCTTGTGAATCTAAAAATAAATAACAAAAACACTCATATCAGCTGCAGTCATCACAGTACCAGTGTGCTAATGCGATGTGTGAGTATGGAAGAAGGACGTGCTTCTCATACGGAAAGCGACCAGTAACGACGGCGTCAATGGACACTGTAAAAACAAATGAGCTAATTAGAGTACAAATATATAACGAATATGCAACGTTTCCTCTGCTTCTCTCTGTTGTGCGTATAAATCTCTCTATCTCTCCCTCTTGCAGTGTTCTGCGTTTGCGCCAAAATCTATTTCCCGGCCACTTGGGCAACAACAGATATAACGTAACGTTGCTTCATTGGCGATTAAGCCACAATAAGACCTGTAGCGCAAACGTTACGTTGGATTAGTCTTATGGCCAAACAGATCAATTAAATGTTGACAAAACGATGCTATATTTTCATTGTGGATTAAAGCAATGTCAGCTATAGCAGCGTAGGGACGATGGTGCTACGACGGATTTCGTATGCAACACCAATATCTACCATCAGAGTGATACGAGGATAGGAATGGGCGCTGCGAACTGTCGCCGTGCGAACAGATGACGATGCTTAATCTTGTATGAAAACGACGAAACCAGTTTACGGGGAGAGTGGAAAGGCAACTCCGTCAAAAAGGTAAGGACCAACGCATGAATGAGTAAGGGCAGCTAGAAGTCGATGTATACATAGCCCTTGCTTTCGTTGGAGGCTGCAAGTAGGCCAATATCCCTTATCTTATGCATATGCCGATGTGGTTAAATCTTAACGTGTGCAGTGCAAAGAACCGCACGGGGTCGCGTGAGTGAAACTTGACGCCCTTTACATAAATATGTATACATACAAACGAGGAACTGAAATGAATACGACCTGACGTGTTATGGAAAGAAAATGCTTTTTTGCGGCTGTACGATCTTATGAGGGGTAACTAGGACTGCTAGCACTTTTCTGATTAACGATGGCTGTCGATGATGGATTGTTAGTTAGCATCTTGTAACAGGGGGAACGAAAGAACTGCTAGTCACTATTGACCACAATGATAAAACTACTGGTTAACATAATAGAAATGTCAAATCTAGGGCTAAACCAACGTGGGTATCCGCTTACATCTTGACATATGCGACAACCTATCTACTTACAAAATCGGGCATATTTCTGACAGATAGGGTACGAAGTATACATATAAAAGCTCAAAGACAAAAAAAAAAACGTATAAAACCGAATACATACGACAATTGTTACAGATAGACTTGTTCTAGGTCAAATAGGCATTTGTTCGTGTCCGTTAGTATTTTATGTAAGAGACCTTAAGTCCGCATTGAATAAAGCCTAAGAAATCGATTTTCTTATATGAAGAATAGACAACAGGCCTAAAACTTTATTCGAACGCAACAACTTAGTACACAGAGTTGAATAACTGCATAATGTAACGATTTAAAACCTGATACTTAATAAATGCATAATCTCTTATAATAAAGACATTTCTTTTCATATTTGTGGAAGCTGCCATGATATTAAAATGCTTAATTACCAATAGCTAATCGTTGATTTTAATTAGATCAATACGTCTTGCAATCGAGAACAACATAACGATATTTAAAGGCTTTTTTCGAACATTTTGTTAAATTAGACGCGCTGCGCAACTCAAGGGAAAAAGGGACAGGAGTCAGTATACAGAAAGAATTTTTTCTTCTACAAGTCCTGCTCAGTGCTTCTGTGTCCAGTGAAAGACATTAGACATTAACCGTTTTTAGCCTGATGACCGACGCCTCATGGTTCCTCAACTAAAATATTAGGTGTAATGAGGTCCCGATTATTGAGTTAAGGCTTAGGCTTTGTGAAAGGTGAAATGACTTTCGAATGGCTGTGTTTACGGTCACGTAAAGGGACTCATGTGGGTCTGAACGTCAACTAATTCTCCTCTTGCTGGCGGAGACCAGCCCAAGGAGAGGCGAACGATATAGCATGTAGCAGGTGTGAGAAGTATAAATATGATGTTAGATCGTTGTTACAATTAACTTGAGTTACGTAGGCGGATCGGCAAGCAAATTATCATAGTCAAAATGGCAGAAAAATTCAACTTGATTAGGGGCGGAATGAGACGTCAATCATGCTCTCCATCTCGAGCGATAGAGAGCCTAATGTTTAGTAGGTTTTGTCATGCCGAATACCATTTATTGCTTTGTTCGCTTTTTTACATATGGCGTCTCTATATCTATATTTCTACTGGCATACACTATTACTAAAAATTATGGTTTGATTGCTCCTAATTTACGCACAAGCGTTCGCTTGCGCGCCCAAAGCCCAACCTTCATAACAATTTCATTTATATAACACATTATCGGATCATTTTGTAACTAAAGTCACAATTCAGCCGAACTGTTCAGTTGGACTTTATTTGCAATAAAGTTGTATGTTACCACATGACTTTGCTACAACACTATGTTAAGTAAATTCCGTTAGCTTAAGAAAGATCGTTTCTTGCAGATCTTCAGCAAAATGATAACATAGTTTAAATATCAATTATATTTGAAATAATCTAAATGCAACCCAAACCCAATCGTCTCCCTACTTTTCTTAGAACCCAGTTCCCTCACACGGATCTTCGAATTGTAGCTGGTGTTTTCAAGAGTAACGCTACTGTACCTTCTTACTGCTCTCTCATACTGCTGTCTAGTCTTTATTTTTATTTTGAATGCGACACGATTATTATTTTCCCTAGTGTTGCCCTGGGGCAGAACTCCTTCTCACCGCAACCCTTCGTTTCTCTCACCGAAAGCGCAGCGGATTTACCTACTGGCGAGTGGTTTAGTC